TTCATTCCACAGAAGATGCCACACTATGCCCAACTCCACCTAAATACAAAAAGCCAGGATTTCCACTTCTACCTAACATATCATAATCTGTCCGTCTACACTAAACATTCTGTGGAGGAGAAGAACTGGTACAGTCTGATCCTTCGAGAAGATGGAAAAAATATTTCCAGCATGATGGTAAGTTGAGGAATGATCTAGGTTCCAAACTGTTATCTTTTTTTGACTGGATCATTTATATCTTACCAAAGATATGCCTGATGATCAGATTTCTGACTATCAGTTCCTTGTTGTCACCAGTAACTGATTTTTACTTTCCTCTATTACAGGTGAAGGATGAAGGAAACAAAACAGCCAATGGGATGACAACTGTGAGGTTTGGATGTCAAGGAGACCCCAGGCCACTCTGTTTTGAATCTTGGTCTCTCTTCTGATCTGTGGGGCTTCAGATAAAGTAGCCTCACATTCTATTTGTCTTGTACAGGGATTCTCTCTCCTATAATATCAAGGGCATGGGTATCAGAGGCATTTTCCAGGACAATGAGAGACAGGTTTGCTTTCCCATGTGGTATTAAAAGATGACCCTGTATCTGTATATGCCCCCGGTGCTCTACTGTGTACATCCCTTTTTGTTGAATTTTATCCACTTATCTTGCTCTCAGGAAAATAACTGAGTACTTCCCTCTCTGTGATCACCAGAGAAAAATTTAGAAGTGAGCAAATAATCCTTTCTTCATGGTTGGTGGTTGAATATCCCTTATTGTTACTGTGTTTTTAAAGCATAGTTTTTTGTAAACCTGTAGAAGCCCTATGGTGTAGTAAAGGTAACACCTTTGGTTTTGAATCCAGATAAGGCAAAAATCATGTCAGGTATCCAGGGAAAGTTACAGAGATAAAGAACCCAAGAGGTCACTGGTCTCTGTAGCAGGAATCAGGCATGAAATAGAGAGATGCACATACTTATGGCCGTCAAGATTAGGTGGTTGCTATTGTGTGCCAAAAACTGTTCTAGGCACTGGGAATATAGCGGTAAACAGGTGTCCCTGTTTGGGAGGGTTTGTCTGATGTGTGACAATGTCTCTACCCTTAGGTTTATTAATACGTTACACAAAGAAGTCAACATCTCCCTGACTACAGATATCTTCCTCAGTGTTGGTGAAGACTATGGTGTGTCTGCTTACATAACTGTACAAAGTGGAGAGTAAGAGCATTACCCTTGTGGACCTTTTACTTTTATCAACAATTGTTCTTTATTTTTATTTTTATTTTTCGTTTTTGCAATTTCATTTTATTCCACTGGCCCAATGTCATTGTACAAATAAAATTCAGTTGCGTTCCAAATAGCACAACAGAGTCTTCTGGAATGGCACCCTACATATAACAATTGTTTTTTAAATGTTTTCTTTGCATATAGGTGTGGGGATTGATTTTGAGTGTACTCAGGTTTCCTGTTTTATACTGTTTCACTAATTCTTTTTTTTTTTTTTTTTTTTTTTTTTTTTTTTTTTTAACGTTTATTTATTTTTTTGGGACAGAGAGAGACAGAGCATGAACGGGGGAGGGGCAGAGAGAGAGGGAGACACAGAATCAGAAACAGGCTCCAGGCTCTGAGCCATCAGCCCAGAGCCCGACGCGGGGCTCGAACTCACGGACCGCGAGATCGTGACCTGGCTGAAGTCGGACGCCCAACCGACTGCGCCACCCAGGCGCCCCTGTTTCACTAATTCTTAAGACTTGGATGAGAAAAACACATAAGGCTTGGGTGAGAAGACTGAGGGCCTGAAGCCCACAAAAGAAGATGATTTGTGCCTTCTTTATTCAGGCATAAGGTTAAAAAAAAAAAAAAAAAACTACCTGACAGACAATGAAGAGCTCAGATCTGGGTCAGAAAAACCTGGCATTAAAATCAATCACTCCTAGAGACTTCTTTTCAAAGAGAAATGGTAGCTTTGCTGCTTGACTCACCATGAATAGAGAGATGAGGTCACTCTTTCCCTGGAGATGGGAATGCATTTTCTAGAATAAATGTGGTGTTTATTCTAACTAAAATTGTCCTGTTCCAGATATGCTGCAGTACATTGTAGAACAGAAGATAAGGACTTTTTACTGAATATGGGTCTACTAGACTTTGGTGCAACTTATCTGTTTGTTATTACTAATGTAAGTAACTCATGACCACCCTACTCTCTCCTTCCATATATCTGTATCTATATTTATATCTATATATTTATTATCTGTGTCTGTATTTATCCTGGGATCCAAAGAAAACTGTATGTTGGTGCAGGGTCACATACTTATTTCTAGTGTAAAGTGATAGATTCTTTCGGGACTTTAGAAAGTCTATTAAGGTCTCTATAAGGGACATTAAAAGAGATAACATAGGCAATAGGCATATAATAGAAATATAGAATGATATAATAGGTGGACTTTTGTGTCTGAATTCTTTCATTTGGCATATTTTCCAAGGTTCATTCATGTTGTAGGATGTATCGGTGCTTCATTTCTTGTTACTATTAATTAAAATTCCATTATATAGATGTGACACATTTTATTTGTCAATTCATCAGTTAATGGACAGTTGGGTTGTTTCTACCTTTTCACTATTATAAATAAGGTTGTTATGAACATTCATGTACAAGTTTTTGCATGGACATTTTCTTTTTTTTGTTTTTAATGTTTATTTATTTATTTATTTATTTATTTATTTTTTTTAATGTTTATTTATTTTTGAGACAGAGAGAGACAGAGCATGAACAGGGGAGGGGCAGAGAGAGAGGGAGACACAGAATCTGAAACAGGCTCCAGGCTCTGAGCGGTCAGCACAGAGCCCGACGCGGGGCTTGAAATCACTGACGTGAGATCACGACCTGAGCCGAAGTCGGATGCTTAACCGACCGAGCCACCCAGGCGCCCCATGCATGGACATTTTCATTTCTCTTGAGTATATATGTATGAGTGGAATTTCTGGGTCATATGGTAACTCTAAGTTTTAACCATCTGAGGCACCACTAGGAACTTTTCCAAAATGAATTCCATTTTACATTCCCACCAATAGTGTGTGAAGGTTGAAATTCCTCCTCATCTTCACCAACACTTTTTTTCTGTCTTTTTTATACCCATCCTAGTAGATGTGAATAATATCTCATTGTGCTTGTGAGGGGGCGGGCGGGGGACACAGAATCCGAAGCAGGCTTCAGGCTAGGAGCTGTCAGCACAGAGACCGACGTGGGGCTCAAACTCACAAACTGTGAGATCATGACCTGAGCCGAATGCTCAACTGACTGAGCCACCCAGGCGCCCCTTTTCTCCTCTAGCTTCTAGTGGTTTTCTGGCAACATTTGGTATTCCTTGATAGGTAGAAGAATCACCCCAATCTCTGCCTTCAAGAGAAGGCTTGTCTGTGTCCAACATTCTTTTTTACGAGAATACCAGCCACAGTGGATTAGAACCCACCCTAATGACCCCATTTTCACATGACTAATTATATCTGCAAAAAACCTATATCCAAGTAAGGTCACATTCTCAGGACTCAGTTGGGGTTAGGCCTTCAACATATGAGTTTTAAGGGGACGCAATTCAACCCATAACACTTGTATTCCTGTTATTATTCTATTTTTTGTTTGTTCGGTTTTTTGTATGCTACTCAGGATAGAAGTCATACATATTGTTTCTGAATGCCAGGATCTAATAAGCATTTAAAGTAAACATCATAAATTGGAGCTTGGGGGCCCAGTTTTTTCCATAGTCCTATTTTCTTTGGCCTGCACAGGACTGACAAAAGTAATAATAATCATTATTAGTTGACAATACTTAAAATTCGGTGGATTTCATGTAAGAAGCTGGATTCTTAACATTTCTCTCTCTTTTTAAAAAATTTTAGTTAGTTAACATATAATGCAATATTGGTTTCAGGAGTAGAATCCAGTGACCCATCATTTACGTACAACATTCAGTGTTCATCACAATAAGTGCCCTCCTTAGTACCCATCACCCATCCAGCCCATCTCCCACCCACCTTCCTCCATCAACCCATAGTTTATTCTCTATCATTAAGAGTATCTTGTGGTTTGTTTCCCTTTCTTCTCTTTTCCCCTTCCTTTCATATGTTCATTTGTCTTGTTTCTTAAATTCCACGTGAGTTAAATCATATGGTATTTGTCTTTCTCTGATTAACTTATTTCGCTTAGCATAATACATTCTGGCTCCATCCATATCATTGCAAATGGCAAAATTTCATTCTTTTTGATGGCTAATACTCCACTATATATATATAGTATATATACCTATATACACACACACACACACACACCAAATCTTCTTTATCTGTTCATCAGTTTATGGACAGTTGGGCTCTCTCCATAGTTTGGCTATTGTTGATAATGCTGCTATTAACATTGGGGTGCATGTACCCCTTTGAATCTGTATTTTGTATCCTTTGGGTAAATACCTAATAGTGCAATTGCTAGACTGTAGGGTAGTTCTATTTTTACTTTCATAAGGAACCTCCATACTATTCTCAGGAGTGTCTGCACCAGTTTGCATTCCCACCAACAGTGCATGAGGGTTCCCCTTTCTCTGCATCCTCACCAATACCTGTCATATCTTGCATTGTTAATTTTAGCCATTTTGACAGGTGCGAGGTGGTATTTCATTGTGTTTATTATTTTTTTTTGTTTTCCTGATGATGAGTGATGTTAAGCATCTTTTCATGTGTCTGTTAGCCATCTGGATGTCTTTTTTGGAAAAGTGTCTATGCATGTATTCTGCCCATTTCTTAACTGAGTTATTTGGGTTTTGGGTGTTGAGTTTGATACATTATTTATAGATTTTTGGTACTAACATTTATTAGTTATGCCATTTTCAAATATCTTCTCCCATTCTGTAGGATGCCTTTTAGTTGTGTTGATCGTTTCCTTCACTGTGCAGAAGATTTTTATCGTGAAGTCCCAATAGTTCCTGTTGGCTTTTGTTTCCCTTGCCTTCAGCGACATGTCTAGTAAGAAGTTTCTTCAGCTGAAGTCAAAGAAGTTTGCTACCTGTTTTATCCTGTAGGATTTTGATGGTTTCCTGTCACACATTTGGGTCTTTCATCCATTTTGAATTTACTTTTGTGTATGGTGTAAGAAAGTGGCCTAGTTTCATTCTTCTACATGTTGCCATCCAGTTTTCCTAACACCATTTGTTGAAAATACTTTTTCCCATTGGGTATTCTTTCCTGCTTTGTCAAAGATTAGTTGGCAGTATAGTTGTGGATCCATTTCTGGGTTCTCTGTTCTGTTCCATTAATCTATGTGTCTGTTTTTGTGCCAGTACCATATTGTCTTGATGCCTACAGCTTTGTAATACAGCTTGAAATCCAGAATCATGATGCCTCCAGTTTTGTTTTTCTTTTATAGGATTGCTTTGGCTATCTGGAGTTTTTTGTGGTTCCATACAAATTTTAAGATTTGATCTAGCTCTGTGAAAAATGCTGGTGGTATTTTGATAGGGATTGCATTAAATGTGTACATTGCTGTATGGAAACCAATTTGACAATAAATTATATTTAATATAAAAAATGTGTAGATTGCTTTGGGTAGTATGGACATTTTAATAATGTTTGTTCTTCCAATCCATGAGTATGGAATGCTTTTCCATTTCTTTGTGTTCTCTTCAATTTCTTTCATAAGTGTTCTATAATTTTCAGAGTATACATCTTTTACCTCTTTAGTTAGGTTTATTCCTAGGTATCTCATTGTGTTAATGCAATTGCAAATGAGATCGATTCCTTGATTTCTTTTTCTGCTGCTTTATTATTGGTATATAGAAATGCAACAGATTTCTGCACATTGATTTTATATCCTGCAACTTTGCTGAATTCATGAATTAATTCTAGCAATTTTTTAGTGGAGTCTTTCAGGTTTTCTACATAGAATATCATGTCATCTGCAAATAGTGAAAGTTGCACTTTTTCCTTGCCAATTTCGATGCCTTTTATTTCTTTTTGTTGTCTGATTGCTGAGGCTAAGACTTCTACAACTATATTAAATAGTAATGGGGAGAGTGGACATCCTTGTCTTATACCCGACTGTAGGAGAAAAGCTCTCTGTTTTTCCCTATTGAGAATGTTACTAGCTGTTGGTCTTTCATATATGGCCTTTATGATGTTGAGGTATGTTCCATATATCCCACCTTCTTGTGGGTTTTTATCAAGAAAGGATGCTGTGTTTTGTTAAATGCTTTTTCTGCATCTATTGACAGGATCATATGGTTCTTAGACTTTCTTTTATTAATGTAGGGTATCACATTGGTGGATTTGTGGATATTGAACCAGCCCTGCAGCCCAGGAACATATCCCACTTATCATGGTGAATAATTCTTTTAATGTACTGTTGAATTCAATTTGCTAGTATCTTGTTGAGAATTTTTGCATCCAGGTTCATCAGGTATATTGGCCTGTAATTCTCCTTTTTAGTGGAGTCTTTGGTTTTGGAATCATGGTAATGCTAGCTTTGCAGAATGAGTTTAGAAGTTTTTCTTCCATTTCTATATTTTGGAAGAGTCTGAGAAGAATGGGTATTAACTCTTCTTTAAATATCTGGTAGAATTCCCCCTGGGAAGCCAGAAATTGTTGATTACTGATTTAATTTTTTTGCTGGTTACACATCTGTTGAAATTTTTTATTTCTTCCTGTTTCAGTTTTGGTAGTGTGTGAGTTTCTAGGAATTTATCCATTTCCCCCAGATTGTCCTGTTTGTCGGCATATAATTTTTCATGGTATTCTTTTATAATTGTTTGTATTTCTGAGGTGTTGGTTATGATCTGTCCTCTTTCATTCTTGATTTTATCTATTTTGGTCCTTTCTCTTTTCTTTTTGCTAAGTCTGGCTAGGGGGTTATCAATTTTGTTAATTATTTCGAAGAACCAGCTCTTAGTTTCATCGATCTTTTTACTGGATTTTGTTCTATATCATTTATTTCTGCTCTAATCTTTATTGTATCCCTTCTTCTGCTGGCTTTAGTCTTTATTTGCTGTTCCTTTTCTAGCTTCTTTAACTGTAAAGTTAGATTGTCCATTTGGGTCCTTTCTTGCTTCTTGAGATAGACCTGAATTGCAATATACTTCCCTCTTAAGACTGCCTTTGCTGCATCCAAAAGGCTTTGGACTGTGATGTTTTCGTT